AAAAAGGCCGTTATATTAATTTTCATAACGGAATGAAATTAATTTTTAAAAATCCAGTTTTCTACAAAAAATTAAATAACTCCTTTTTCGAGGACAAAAAAAAAATTTTATAGTTTACATAAATAGACATTTTAACACTTTTCTTCCTAATACTGTGTATGTGCACCTTTGCCCAGTGACATTGTTTGCAGTCTTTTATTCATAGAAAGCACCAAATTTTGTTTATGGTTAGTTCAAGATGTATATTTGCCCATATTTCCTGAAGAGTAGCTTTAATCTAATTTTTTCTATTAACTTTGCGTTCTCGTAACTTCGGCTCCATATAGTTCCGCAGGTGTTTCACGGGGTTGAGGTCTCGACTCTGGGGGGGATGTGGTAGCACTTTTTCCACGTTGTACAACAACCATTCCTTGATTACTAAAGAATGCCTCGGGTTTAAATTGCAGTATGCGATTTTTGGAAAATATTGCTTATTTCGCGTACTCTTATTATCTTGCCCATATTTGACTACCAGAGCATGTAAATCTCTAGATGTTTGTTTATTCACCAGTTTATCTTTAAAAACTAAAAAAAAAAAAATAATTTTAAATGTAATAATAAACCTCCCATAATCAGAAAATTTTCCGGGCAGTGCGAAGAAATTCACGTTGTATTATTAGACTAGTGTAGACAATCCATACAAAACAGTGCGTTTGAACATAAGAAAGTACGTTCACACTAAATTTCGTGAAAGAAAAATAATTTTTATACAAGATAAAATGAAAAAACCCAAACACTGGGATAAATTTTGAGGTTATGTGAAAAAATTGTATACATCTTTTGATTACCTATAACAATGCTACATAACTTTTTTCTATAGGACCCGTAGTTTTGCCGAAAATCGCGATAAACCGTTTTAAATCCCTAAAAATTCAAATACGCCCTCCCTTTCTTTTCCCGATCTCAGATTGCCCGTAAATTATTTTTCCTTTAATGTTTGTCATTTTATCTATCGTTTCTGATTTCATCCAACTATTCTTTTTTTTGGTTTTCAAAAATTATCTACCCTGGGCTTTGCGCTACATCTATGCTTTTCTTTTGAGGGAACTAAAAGACTAATTTCAACCAAATTTGGTGCATGGCATTATTTGGACAACCGTTACGTTGTGAAAATTGTCGAGATCGAAGAAAAACCACGCCTAATTCCCATCTACAAGGTGGCCCTCAAATCGCGCTACAAGAACAAACCGTAATAACTGTTTTTTAATAAATGCATTACATTTATTATTGTTTTTATTGTATAGCTAATTTTATTTTGTTTTATATAATTTATTAATTTTAAAAATTATGGACCGTAAATGACCTCTATGCTCGGTCAAAATGAAAGACCGCTTAGCAAGAATAAGTGAAAGCATAATGTTGGATATGTTACAGGACCCTCCGCAATGTGTCGACTAATAATATATACCACAGTATCACGGCAATGGCAAAGCCGAGCTGGAAAAATTCGCCTCTTTTGCAGTTCGGAGTTATCTAGCTAAGGTCCAACTTTATAGGGGCTTTAGTTTTAGACCTGGGGTTTCCAATGAGTTGGTCCTTTTTAACAGCTGTTACTTGATTTATACTCAGTTTGGTTTGCAATTTCATCAAGAACAGCCGAACGACCATCAAGACCGTCGCACGTCCGGTAAATGGGTCCAAGAGGAAATGGCCACCGATCCCGATTTCACAATAAAATTTTGTTCAGCTCTCCTTTGTGATGAAACCTTTAAACCATTGGGTATGTTTTATCGACAACGTGAATCATTGGTTCATTTTTTTTCAACCAACTAAGCTGGTCAAAATGTGACAGGTACTAGGGAACGCTATAGAGCCATGATTTATGAATTTTTCTTCCCTGAATTGGACGACTTTTGATTACAACAAGACCGCGCTACATGCCATACAGCCAACGAAAAAACAAATTTATTGAAGAAAACTTTTGGTGAGTGCATTATCTCGCGTCGAGGACCTGTAGTGTGGAATCCAAGATCGTGCGATTTAAGATCACTGTACTATTCTTTGTGGAGTCGCTGATATACGGCCCCACTTACCCAAAATAAGGTATAAGATAGTCTTACTGCCGTAGCGGCCGTAGAGGCTATGCGCAACGGACCTACTTTTCCCTACACTCGAGGGTCCAGATTAAGAACAAGAACAACAAAAATATAATATTAAAGAAGTCAAGCTTTGCTGGAAAAAGCAGAGCCAGCACAAAGACAAGAGCTAAGATTGCTCTTGGTGCAAGGGCTGGTACCAACTCTGGAGCTGAGCCTAGCTCCAGGAAAGCAACAACACCAGCAGCAGTCGGAAACAAACCTTGTAGCCAAAATATGGTCAAAAAACACACCATCGTGAAGTCTTCAATAATTTTCCACTTGTATTCCATATTTAATTGACGTTAATAGCATTTTAATACTGTTCTAATATTCTTTAAATTTATGCCAAAAGAATAAGTGGAAATTTGTTTCCATTGTGTAGTATAATAGCGTTTAGACTTTTTGTTGAGCTATCAATAAATTGGCCCCATTTATTTGTATGACAGGGAATACAAACTTCTTCAAATAAACCTTTCATGTCATGACAAAATCAGAGTCCATGTTCCTTGCTGAAGAAACAAGAACATTTTTCATGTGGTGTTCTTTGTGGTAATATTCGAAAATACTCAGTAAAGCCATTGTTTTAATCGCGATACCAATAATTCTGCTTTATATTTTGAGACTTAGATATGCCTCTTATTAAATCATTGAATTGATGAGAAGTGGTATTTTTGGTTCAGATTCCAGAACGAATTCGGAATGTATACGAATACCAGTTAGTAATCGTCTTTTCAATTCAGACCAATTAGTCGTTCCTCATTCCTTTTAAAAACGTTGCAAAGAGTAATACACATAAGAAACAAACAAGGAAAACTGGCAGTTTCGCTTTTCTAAAGTAAAATTTACAGAAACAACACTAAACTCAGTGGTAGCAGAAGTTGAAAAATCTCGGGAGATAAAAAAAACCTCGTAGCCTTCCTTGACAAAAAATACGCTTTCAGTAACATACAGCCATACTGAGCGCGTTTAAAGATCTGGGCCTCTCCGAATCTCTCGCGAAATTGATTGAGCAGATGCTCATAGGCCGGTTCATAATTTCAATTCCGAAATACCATCACTACTTATGCACACAATATTAAACAACATAAATTGATGGGGCGTATCGTGTGGACTAAACGTAAATGCTTGTAAGACAGAGCTGGTATTGGAACTAGTATTGTTCACAACACAGAATTTCGGAAGATATGCCCCCATTAATAGGTGATACCAGGTTATCAATAGGAAATAAAACAAGGTACTTAGGACACATTATTGACAGGAAGCTTTCGTGTAAATCAAACTTAAACGATAGGGTAACTAATGCTTCTTATAACTCATGTTCTGATACAGTGAATCGCTGCCAGAAGGTGATAAAATACACTTCATAAATTACCGCGGATATTGCGCGGATTGTGATCAAAAGACTCATAAACCTTACATGAAAAGCCCTCCCTAATTTTTAGTACGGATTTTGACCCAGAAGGTCAAGAGTAGATCAAATTCTTTCCCTCAAACAGTCCATGGAAAAATATTACGAGTGCATTATTGATTTACATATGCTGTTAATTAATTTTAAACAACTATTCGATAGCATTAATAGGATGACTATCCCCACAACATTTCGGACGTACATAATACCAGAAAACTTATTAGAATTGTAATTATGGCTTTACGTAAAACCGTATCCAAAGTAATGAAACAATACAATAAGTCCGAATTCTTCAGAATTAAGTCTAAAGTGAGACAATTAGATACATTATCATCCACACTATTTAACACAATGTTGTGCTGAAATAGGTGACGCAAATAGAACTGGGCTCATTTTAAATAACTAACTACTAATACAAAACCATCATTCGACCAGTATTGTGATAGGAAGCAAAATCATGGACGCTACTCGAAAAGGAAAAACACCAAACTGCAAATCTTCGAAAAAAAGATTCTAAGATAATTCTTTGGAAACTTCATTACTTTAATATTGCAATCGATATTAGATGCTTACCCCAAGTGCTTTTGGATATACTTTTCAGAAATAAATACAATGCGCCAGTGATAGGGTTAAAAACATGTTGCTGCAAGTAAGAAAGATCCTAAGAAAATACTTTGGAGCAATAAACTTAATTATTAAATAAATTCTTACTGAATGTGCGTTTGGAAATTCTTTTCCAAATATTGCAAAAGAATTCAACATTCATTTTTCGACGAAAGCTTCAAGATTTTAATCATGTTTGGTATCTTATTGACTTATATTACGGGTTCTAGACTCACATGGTTTTATGTGCGAGATGATTATATTAGAACCAACCTCATCAATTCAAATGATATACATGTATGTATATCTGATATAAACTCAAAAGTAATAAAAGTAGTTACATAAAATTAATACAATAGGCATATGGAAAAAAAGTCAACCAGAGGAACGGAAATCAATATATTGGGATAAGGGACTTCGACCACGGTCTAGACCGATTTCTTTCAAATTCAGCGCTAAATCTTATTATGTTTAAGAAAGCATATCTATTTCATATCATTGAATAAATATATTAATATTATATATCATATATGATATATGCATATGTATTGAGGAATATAGACGGTTTAAAGTCAGCTGGAAAATAAGAAAACATTCTCTCGAAATCGTTAGTATAAAATTTGTCAGCAATGAAGACTTTAATTCGCGAATTGATTTTTCGCAAAAAACTTGAAAACCCAGGCATGTCTCATACCGACATAACTAGATATAGTGACTGTTTATCTTTTAAAAGAAAGGCCGGTAGTGGTATAAAACAAGGATTTGAATTTCCGATTACAGAAAAAAAGTGTCCGGTATTGCGATTCTAAAAACTATGCCTTAAAAAAGGAGCAACACTGCAGACAAACGTCAAACAAATATTAACAGCTGTTAGAAAATGACAAATGAATACCGGAAAAATATATATAAATTGTATTATTGAATTGATAAACAACATAATATGGAATTATTAGCATTGTTATAGAAACGTAATAGGGATTAAAGGATTGAGCGAAGGATTCTTAGAGACCAAAGGAACATAATGGGTAAAATGTGCTTAGAATGTGTTACTGTAGATTAATTTGTAAATTATAGCTTTTCCCAAAATATCTGGTTCAGCAAAGATGTCTTCATATCCGTGTTAAACGAAATCTCGTCCAACTTAGGGAGAATAGCACCGTCTGTTGTTGGAATTTCGACTATGTGTAAGCTCACAGGAAATTGGCAGCGATCTTCATATTGTTTGTCTCAACAGCCTATGTCGACTTGCCTAAATAAAGTATGCAGAGGCATTGATAAAACTCTGTGGCCAAAACCCATAACCTTTTAAATGACTATGCAAGACGAAAGGAATGCGAAGAGGTACTTTTCAACAATTTGGCTTTCAACACTAATTTTTTCATCGTGTTTAAATTTCCTTGATGTATAATTTGATTTTCTACCTACCTTTTAAAGATTTCGTCACGTCCGGCCAGATTGTTTACAGACAACGCCCTACTGTTGCGGACTGGCGACGTGGTGTCCTTGTGGTGAGATTTTCCTCACATACCGAATCACCTTGATCTACTGCAGCCGTCTCAGCCACAGACATGCTGTTATCCGGAGCACTATCGATGCAGTCAAACCTCTCAGAATTACTGCTTTCATTCGCCGCCTCATCAATGGACAACAGTTGCACTACTCTTTCCTCCAATGGGGAAAAATATTGGAAGGTCGATGGTCCGCCGCCCGTGCTAGAGATGCTCCCCCAAAACCATGATTTTTTCAATTCCTGGTTGAGGAAGGTTACTTCTTTATTATTTTTCCTTTAAAATAAGTAAATGAACTTGTGTTACCTACATTATTGTTTTCTTTCCGACCGTTATGCTAACGAATAAAATTCGCTTATTTTGAAAGATTTTGGCAGTTCAGAGGACCAAAAATTCGAAAACGAAATAGTTGGAAATATAGAAATTCGAAAATAGCTGATTAGAGTACCGAATGTGCGAATTCTAATATAATATTGTCAGAATCGCAATAGAGCGTATACCCCTTTATTATCGGTACGAGACGTCGCAGAAAAAGTGTCAAAAGTCCCCTACACATGTACAAGAAGTACCAAATCGCAATGATAATCAACATATTTTAATAGCTCAATAAATCCCCAAACAAATTCTTGTTTTGCCAGTGCGACTTTAAAAGCGAACCGTTTATTGGCTATGGAGGTATAATCAAGAAATTTATGTAGAAACTAAGCTTTATAAGGCCCTAGTACTCTTGTGCCCTGTTCTCGCGACATGTCATTACGGAAAACAAAGACTTTAATAAGGACTCTATGCAACCGCTTATGAAGGATGTTAAGTTAAAATTGCGATTGTTGGCATATAACAAAAACAAGTGACAATTTTTTCTAAATTTCTATAAACATATTGTATATATGAACTATATCTTGTATAATTATTTTTAAAATTTAATAATAAATATACGCTTATAATGCTATTGATACCACCAATTATTTTCATGCACATACTTTAATATATGGGAGCTGGGGTTATTTGAGAATCGATTTCATTAAACTATCATACGTACCAGTGTTATACGTTCACTTAATTTGATTGATCCGTTTTTATCAATTTTTTGTACCACGACATACTATTGCCAGAAAAAGATCTTCGTTGACTTTCGATAAGATACTTCATATATTGACCAATATATAATATAAGCAGAAAAAATAGGAGGATGTTTGAAAACCCTGATGTTAGTTATACGGGGGCTAGGGCAACCTTTCACCCCCCGTAAAAAGTCAACTATTATTCGGTTTTTTTCTGAATTTCAATAAGATATTTCTGATTGACCGATATTTTTAGTATAAAGCTAGCTATAGGCACGTGGGTCCATATAATCGGTATCATTGGCATTGGTAAGTTATACGACAATTTCGACAATTTTTAGACATGAGATGGAATACCTTAAAAGCCCAATTATAACAATTTTCAAACTAGAGATGCTTTTCTCTATTGCAATTTACTGTACTAAATTACAGTTTTATATCTTACTTTTCGGCTGTTATAGGTTTTCCATTAACGGCTTTTTATGAGCGTGGTAGTGCGCTGATTACGCCTAGCTACAATACCATGTATTACTCAAGTTGCAGATTGCATGGGAGGACGGACGGACAGACCTTAATTCAACTCGTCTCTTCATCTTGATCATTCACAATATATAATAACTTCATTTCTATTTATAAGATTATTACTACAAACCACCGTTAGTGGAAACAAAATTACAATAAACTGTAGCAATATATTGCGGAAGCATATATTGATAAATCAAACAAAAACAACAAAACAGCTATTTACGGGACAAAAAACTTCAGGAGCTCTCGGAAACGTTGGAAATTCTAGGTAAAGTTATATTTTTAATAAATCTATTCATATGAATGCATGTATTGAATGTTTTAGCTGAGAAATTGAAGACACGCCACATAAAAGGAACCAGATAGCCTAATGTTCTTTAAAGATGTTTAGCTAATTTTATATGTTTAGAGTTGTCAGCACTTCGACTCCAAATGTCTGAATCATTTCACCCGTTTTTACTAAAGAGAACAATGTAATTTTTGCTGTTACTCACATTTTTTATCTCTTTATTTTGAATAATAATCATTAAAAATAAAACAAAATTAATCCATGTAAAATTAAGTAAAATTGAAATTAAAAGAAAAGTTTTTAAAATAAAGTAAATAACATAAAATAAAAATGTAAATCTAGTTTATTATTTATTAGAGAAAATTTAATTTATAAGAATTTGCCGGACTCAACTGCCCTTCTATTAATGTGACACTTTCATTTACGTGGTCAACAAAGTGTGTGATAGAATAGGGAGCAGAAAATTAAAAAAATATTATTACAAAATTATTATTGTTGCTTTTACTATTTTATTGGCATTTTCGGGAAACACATCCAAAGAATTGTTGAGAACTCGCCATCTAGCTACCAAAATACCAAAGGCATTTTCAATTGTAAGCCGCGCTCTGGATAAACATTAATTGAAATGGTCTCTTTTTTGCTTTCAAACACTTTCCCGGATATGGCCACATGAAATGGTTTGTCGAAGGAAAAGCAGCATCTCCTAAATAATAAAATGGGAATTTTATCGCACTGCATGGGAAATTTATATTTCCTTCAGGTTTATTATTCCGTTTAGAATTTTATTGCCAAAACCAATGACTGAATGTGTATTTGCCGTCACACATGGTTAATAACATAATACTAAAATATAGCTTATAATTGTAATACATTGATCCGAATTTTCTCAAACACTTAATTTGTATGTAATTTGCCGTCAACAGCTCCTACAAGATGAGACATTCGTGACTTCAGGTAGAATGAATCGGCTTTTTCCCTTCACTCATATTCATTTCGTAACGTCAAGTATATACCGGAATTTTTATCCCAAATGGCTGCGCATGTAATGCCAGCCGACATTCTGCTGGTATATATTGGGTGACGTATATGGAATTGTATATATTTATTAAATTACAATAAGAAGTATGTTAAATTAATCCACTTCGAATCGCGTAGCCTTTGGAATTGAGCGGAGTATTTTTTTTATAGGAGTTTACAAATTGTTGAAAAATCCATGCAAGTAGTAGAAAAATGGGGATCCTACCCCACTTGGTGAAAGAAAACCATTCACTCCCATTGATGTTATGGGGATCCTACCCCACTTGGTGAAAGGAAAACTGGTGAAAGGAAAATATAT